GGCCGACTTGTCCGGTTGTTCAAGACGGATGTGCCGCTGATGCTCCTTCAACCTCATGTCCACGGAGCGGCCTGTCTGCCCAATATAGACCTTCCCGCACTGCTTTCTTCATAGTCACCGCCGTGTAAGCCTCAAATCTTACAAAAACAGAGATACTTTTCTTTTTGAAATTCGATCTTTGTTCCCTCCACATGAGGATACACCATGTTCTCAACATGTTTAAATTTTACTGGCTGTGTGCTGAACTTCTGCAGCAACTTGTGCAGGGTCCAAATATTGCAATGCCAAAATACTCCTTTATATAAATAAATATAATATAATATCATATCATATAAATAATGACCCTAACAGTGTCCCTGCTATAGTCCAGCTGCAACTTAATGATTTTTCATATCAGTGTAGGGTGCTGCATGCCTCGAAACACGTCTGGCTGAAAGTCACTGTCCAGTTTGAAACAGCACTGACCAACAGTCACGCATTGGTCATGCACAGTGGTTACACTGTAATATGAAATGATCACATTGCAGCACATCATTGCATCATGCACACTCTTTCTAGCTTTTGCTAGTTCTGAAACAGCAGTATTTCTATGTGAGCGGGGAAGACATCTAGTCAGTTGGGTCCCTTAGAAAGAACTAACCACAAACACTGGACAAACCCTGTCAGATTCAGTGACTGAGGTTAGCTCTTTCTAGCTTCTGCTACCTAGACTCTCATGAAGCTGGACTGTGATGCTAAACAGTAATACACATAGCAAACCTATTACATCCATTGCAGCTGTTTCACCTCCAATTGTGACCTATTTAATGAACTCCCTCACAAAATAAAAAGAGAGTGAATTCTAAGGAAGAATGCAAAACTACTAAAATTAATGGCTGCTGTAACACACGTCAATGTTGGTGGACTTTCATTACCTCACTGAGGACCATAAATATATCACTTCATTAATTAATCCTAGGAAACATGGCCCAGAGAGAAAGTGTGCTTCTATTTACAGTATTCGTGAATTACAACCTATTTAAAAGTGAAGATATTTGTGATAATTTACTTAATATCTGTAGATCAATAAAATTAAGAAATGGTTATACTAGTTACATCTGTAGATCAATAAGATTAAGAAACGGTTATACTAGTTATATCTGAAGATACTAGTTAGCTTGATCAATCTTTCCAGAGTCACACCTTTGTAACATGAGGATTACTGACTCTGTTGCATTCTGAAAACATCAGCAAACTGAAAATCAATTTCCATGTCACCATAGTGCAATAAGCATTTCACTATTAATGGACTGTAACTGAGGCAGATAAAGGGAGAAAAAGAGACCAGGATTTCTCCCTCTTCCTCTATCATCTCTTTGAACAAAGGACTAACTCAATAATAGACTGTTTCATGGTGTCAACAAAACTGTCTTTTGTTACTTTCCTTTCAGATTTTACAAAACTACTATTCAGCATATGTCTACAGGTAGTGTGGAAAACCGTGGCAAATCGTTGAGGATAGCCAGTCTCTGCATTAGGACCTGCATCTTAAACCTCCCAAATTCAAAGCAGAATATCAAATATTCTATTGCAGTGTTCAGGGAGATCTATAAAGGTTGGGCAGGAAATGGCTGCTGTATTTCAAGGTATTATATAGCAGAGACCTGGGAAAGCTGTAGTCACAATAAGCAGTGCATCAGCAGAGAGGCTTCCTGCACTCAAATCAGTCCCTTAAGTACCGAACTAGGCTGCTCAATCTTCCAACTTCATCTGCATACTAAATCACAATGTACCATAATGAGAATCAAAGAACACAGTTTCACACAAGTGTGATACCTACCATCTCTCACCGGCCAGCTATCATCTTGAAAACAGACAAGCAGAGTTTCCAAGAGTCGCTCCACATATGGCCGAGTGGCTTGAGGATGGATTTTTGCTGCAAGTTCAGCAATACAAGCACAAGCTGCTTCTCGCACAGCATGGTTATCTGATTCTGTTGCTAATATGTAATAATCCACAGTATATGAGATGTATTTTTGGACTAGATCCTTCCCAGCTGTTCCTGTCACCTGGCGCCAGGTCTCCTGAGAGTAGATGCGTACTCCTTCTGCCACGTAATATCTGCAATGTATTACAGAAAAACTACTCATAACTTTCATTATATAGGGTACAAGCATATATTAATTTTTAAATATTCTCTCCCCAAGATGCAAATAGTAACTTTATAAAAGTAAGATCATATTGCATCCATCATTTCTCAGTGGCCACCAAGGAAACTTTTAAGATGCAGAAACACATGAAAATCACTTGGCACTAAGTCTGGGCTGATGCCGTGCCACAGCTCAAGCGGTTAGTCGCTCGCTTCTCACCGGGTTCGATCCCGGGGTCTGGTCAAGTGGGATTTGTAGTGGACAATGTGGCGCTGGGGCAGGTTTTCTCCGAGTACTTCGGTTTCCCCTGCCAATCCTCTTTCCACCAATTGCCCCACAATCACGCTCACATATCATCTGGGGCTGGTACAATAGGCCAGAAGTGGCCGCAGTACAAGGGACTTAGACCCACCCCACTAGAAAAGAAATAGTCCCCCTTTAAGGTGACAGTGTCCTGTAAGTAGTCCTACCACCCATTGTAGCTGGTTCCTGTTTAACTTCAACAGTTAATTTGCTCTTTTAGTAGGGGGTCCTTGTATGAGTCCCTTTGCTTGCCTGAGTCCAGTGAAGGATCCCCAGTATTTCTTGTGATTCATATTTGTCCAGTCCCTGATTGCCTGTCTGGCAACTCCTATAGAGATGCCACAGGCTGGTTCAGGTCCTATGAATGCATGCTCAGCTCCAATCTTAGCTAATTGGTCTGCTATTTCGTTTCCAGCAGTACCCTCATGCCCTGGCACCCACATCAGTTGTACCCTGTTATGTTTGGCCAGTTCCATGATAGTTTGGTGGCAATCCCAGACCAATTTTGAGTTGATCTGCTGTTTGTCAAGCACTTTAAGTGCAGCTTGGCTGTCAGATAGAATGTAGATGTTCCTATTTCTGTACTTCCTATCTAGATTCTCCATAATACATGCCTTAATGGCATAGACTTCTGCCTGGAATACCGTCGTGTACTGCCCAAGGCTGAAACTAAGTTTCCGCCTCGTGCCATAGCAGAACACACCAGCTCCAGTGCCCTTATTTATCTTGGAACCATCTGTATACCAGACCAGTCCCCCTTTTATATCGGGCCGAAATCCCGTCTTCCCATTCACTCCTGTCAGGAAATCTGACTGTGAAGGGTTTTTCATATACATGCCTCAGTATAATTTTGTCAGACCCCATTTGTAATATGGGTTCTTTTATCATGTCCTGAATTATGTATGCATGTCCGAAAGTATCGGATTTAGGTTTCCATTGATCACTGCACTGGAGACGATAGATTCCTGCCCTGGTTGATGAATGCTGCATAATTTGCACACTTCACCATGTTACTTGGATATCAAATCAAAAATGAGATTTATATCACATATAGCATGCAGGGAAGCAATAAAAGATGCTTCCAGAGATTTGGTTGAAAAGATCAAGGAGAAAATACCAATTAGTGGGCCTCAGTATAGACAAGAAGACAACAATGAGAAGGATAAGAAAGAAACAGGGTAGGAACGTGTGATCTGGATTGATCTGACTGAGGAGAGGGACCAATGGCATGCCATTGTGAGCACAGTAACAAACCTTCAGGCTGCATAAAAGGCAAGTTACTTCTTGACTAAGCGGCCTCCGTAGTCTAGGGGTAACGTTCCCACCTCATGACTAAAGGTATGCAGGTTCAAACCTGGCGGAGGTAGTGGAATTTTTAAGGGCAGAAAAATTCAGGGAACAAGTCCTCCAGGAGGGACTTTAAGCCATGGGTCCCGTGTCGTAGATTTACAGCATGTAAAAAGATCCTCATGTCTCTAGGAGACCTCTGAGCTAAATTAGGCAACAAGTTTCCCGCCCAAGTAGTTTCCAATGCCTCTGGTAGATGGGGGAGATATCAGGTACCGAGGGCCGACCTCGTTGGCTGAACGGAGCTGATAGTACGCACCAGTACTGGTAGGGTATGGCGACAGTAGAAATTAAAGGGGGATGCACAATGGACCAATAACTGGTCTAAGTGCATGGGGAAACCCACCCCCTCTAATAATATTCATAAAATAATACTTCTTGACTATCTGAGTAATTATTAGCTTCTTAGGATCTAGATCCAATTAGTTACTCAGTCAGTATACAAAATTCTTAGAAATGAGAACTGGTATACAATACCTGTTGAGACACATTCTTGGCAGTAATTCTGGGTAGAAAATTTCTCGAGCTTTATCATCAGGGAGTGAAGTAAGGAATTTTCGTGCAGCAACAGATGCTGAGAGTCGTACCTATTGTAAGGAATTTCGAAGTACTAGTCATAACAGAGATAACACTCCATTTTTATTCTATCACAGTTCATCAATATTGTACAATTTCTCAAGTATGTTGGGTACATACTTATGTTCCAGATCAATGTTTCCGAAATTATTTTAAACACAGAACCATTTTTTCTTTTGTTCATGAGATTAAAGTTAGCTAGCGGACAAAATGCTTCTATGTCAATCCTTCTGAACAACAATCATACACTTCTAATATCTTTGTTGGTACCTAAAGAATACTGGGTCACAAACTTTTTAAATTTAAAAGTATGTGCTACTGATGATATGACATCTGTCAAAATGCTCTTCAGAAACCTGGAGTTGCATCAAGCAACCAGAGTTTCAAAATCACTACTGCAAACAGGTGTGCGACATCTATTGGTGTATGTTCCATCAGCCTTGGTTGTGAACACACAATTATACAACACAGCACTGAATACATAAATATTAGTACAAATATTATGTTTTTGGACATTATTCATTGTCTTGTCATTATCTAAAAACTGTCTTGTTTATTTTTCAAAACAGCTGTGTCATGACTACAGACATGCTAAATGACTCGCATACATTGACAAGACATTTGTGATATGGCCACATGGACCAGCAAAGTTACAGGAATTTCTCCAGTATATCAACATTAGGCCTACCATCAAATTCACTATGAAGTTGAGGCTAATAATACCCTTCCATTCTTGGACATTTTGGTTATGAAGTGGGGACCAAAAATGACCATAAAAGTGTACCAGAAGCCTACTCATACTGGTTACCTTCATTTCAAGTCCAACCATTAACATCACTTAAAAAGAGGAGTCGTTCATAGTTTGGTCAACCAAGCGAATGTCATATGTTAAAACCAGAAGAATTTTAACAACGAAATTAAAAACATAAGACATGATCTGATGCTCAGTGAATATCCAAAAGAATTCGTTGACTGTGTAATGAAGCCATCGGCAAGACATCGTCTCTCTCCAGACACAGTATACCAGGGCACTGTAGTCATCCTGTATGTTAAGGGCAATTCCGAGAAATTCAGATGCATTGGGAACTGTTTCCATCCCATAACCATCTTCGAAACTAAACATACACTCCATGAGACACTGATGAAAACTGGACTGGTTAGAGACGCCCAGCAGACAAAGCAGCGTGTTTACAGCATCCCATGCAACTGCGGCAGATGTTACATCAACAAAACAAGCAGACCTTCAGAAGTATGCATTAAGGAACACAAATATAACTTGACAAAGGGTTTGCTGGAAAAATCCAAGTTAGCCCAACATGATCAGTCAACCCAGTTTGGACATCTCTCCCATCTGGGCCCCTGTTATCACAGCAGAAGTCAAGAGATTACAACACGGTCAAGTGTGGTTTGAGTGGAAAAATTTTGTTTTTCTTGTGTTGGTACCATAAGAACTATTGCTTCACTTCAGAGATGATTACAACACGGTCAAGTGTGGTTTGAGTGGAAAAATTTTGTTTTTCTTGTGTTGGTACCATAAGAACTATTGCTTCACTTCAGAGATGATTACAACACGGTCAAGTGTGGTTTGAGTGGAAAAATTTTGTTTTTCTTGTGTTGGTACCATAAGAACTATTGCTTCACTTCAGAGATGATTACAACACGGTCAAGTGTGGTTTGAGTGGAAAAATTTTGTTTTTCTTGTGTTGGTACCATAAGAACTATTGCTTCACTTCAGAGATGATTACAACACGGTCAAGTGTGGTTTGAGTGGAAAAATTTTGTTTTTCTTGTGTTGGTACCATAAGAACTATTGCTTCACTTCAGAGATGATTACAACACGGTCAAGTGTGGTTTGAGTGGAAAAATTTTGTTTTTCTTGTGTTGGTACCATAAGAACTATTGCTTCACTTCAGAGATGATTACAACACGGTCAAGTGTGGTTTGAGTGGGAAAATTTTGTTTTTCTTGTGTTGGTACCATAAGAACTATTGCTTCACTTCAGAGATGATTTCAATCGAGATACTTCTCTGGTGCAAGGCCTCATACATGTGGAGTCTCAATAATTTAATGTTTTCTTAGCTCTCGCAGGCGGTTTGTGCTGTGTTTGATTTATGTACCCCATCTTGAAGCTGGCATAGGTGTCTCGAGATGAAGACTAACTCTTTCAATTGGGCCCAACTGAGTAGGTTTTTAGCTGAAGATGGACAGAGAATCCAGTCTCCAAAATGTCTTGAAAAACAAATAGGACGGTTTTTAGATAAAGACAAGAAGATGGATAATGTCCAAAAATATAATATTTGTAACAAAGTAATTTGTCACAAACTTTTAGATCTTATTTACACAAACATTTCTGAACTCTCCTTTGGCTAGGATGCAAGCACAGAAACCCGTTATATATTGCTCATATGCTGACCAGTGGGTTATATTAATTTCAGATTACATAACTTTCACATCTTCCAGTTATGATGTATGAGTACATAAATGAAGTCAGCACACTATACCAGGCCATATGTTGTAAATATGGTGGCATGAAGAAAATTACGGAATCTTACAACTGAAAAAGTCTGTAAAACTCTTATAAATATGGATTCAGGATTAAGCAAGTAAATTTAATGAACTGAATGACATGTTGTGGACTAGATTTGATATGAAGAAAGATGTCTTCTGGGATGTGGCGCCATGTAGATATTGTGTTAACCGACGTTTTCAGAGGAACGTATCACCTACATCTTCAGGGTAGAAGAAAAGAGAAAAAATCAATGAGCGAGGAACCAGCGTGAGCAGGTGCTGACAGTCAGCACGTTTCTCTGAAACGTTGGTTAACACATTATCTATACAGCGCCACATCCCAGAAGACTGTTTTCTTCATAGTCACCGCTGTGAAAATCTCAAATCTTACATAGATTTGATATGTTTCTTGAAACTGAGAAAAAAAAAACATATAGAAAACACTGCTTCCAATATCTGTTGTATGGAAAAATGGCATAAATAATGCAGGGTACCATAACCACAAGCTTCATGTTCAGCTCCAGACATTTGCTAACCTGACTCCAGTTGTCTGCTAGTCCCTGTGCTAAGTGTTTGCTGAACTCATGCCCATACGTGTAGATAGGGTTCATTGCACTAACACTATCTCTGCCTTCTGCATCTGTGGAATTAAAATGTTCATACATATATATAAATACTATATATCATCACCTTATACATAAATATATCTCTAGCAGCAAAAACCAGTGTATAATTCAGATAAGGGTAAAATTGGTGAAAGCATCTAAAAACAAATAAAATATATAAACAACCATTTTTACTATATAGTTCTGAAAAATGAAATCAAATTAATCAATGCTGCAACTTTATCTCTCCAGACAATTTTTACGAATGTACAGCAAGAAATAAACACTGTAATTCTTTTCTCAAAAAAAAAATAAATAAATAAATAAATAAGAGGACATAAATTGCACACAGCCATTTTCCTTTATAAATTACTGCTTACAGGTGAACTTGAACAACAGGATACTTCTAGGGGAATCTTTACACAATTTACGATGGGGTACCCAAAAGAAACCGAACTAATTTTTTTGTGGGCAGAGCTTTTGTAGTACCTCGTTTTGCCGCTATGAGCGCATAGAGCTAACATTCCAACATTCCTGAGTCGATAAGCCGACTACCGTTGCTTCAGAAGGTAAGGACTAGTTTCGGCAGAGTTTATAGTGACAACTGTTTTGTGTGATCTTCGTTTTTGCAACGGCTGATTTTCGTGAACAGCGTGCGGCGGTGAAATTCTGCTTTTTGCTCGGGAAAAGTGGAACAGAAACTCTTGAAATGTTAAAAACGGAGTACAAGGACGATGCTATGGGGAAAACTCAAGTGTTTGAGTGGTTTTCCCGTTTCAAAAATGGTGAAATGTCAATTGATGACAAACCTCGTCCTGGTCGTCCTTCCACGGCCTGAACACATGAAAATGTTGAAAAAAAATCGTGAACTCATCAAGGAAGATCGACGATGGACCACTGAAGAAATTGTGGAGCTGTTGGGAGTGACTTGGAGCTCAGCGGCCTGATTTGTGGCAGTCAGGTGACTGGTTTTTCCATCATGACAATGCCCCTGCTCACACAGCCCTGTCTGTATGACAATTCTTGACCAAAAATGGTATGACCCTGTTCCTCACCCTCCATACTCACCCGACCTTGCCCTGTGCGACTTTTTTTTGTTTCCTCGAATGAAAAGAGACATGAAAGGAAAAAACGACGGAGGCGCTGTCAAGCATCTCAAAAGATGAATTTAGACAATGTTTTGAAAAATGGAATAACAGACTTGACAAGTGTATTAGTGTAAGTGGAGAGTACTCTGAAGGGGATTGAAGGTTTGTGCTTAAAATTTGAATAAATAAGTTTAAAAAAAAATAAGTTCGGTTTCTTTTGGGTACCCCCTCCTATGTGCTTTATCTTCCATATACACAAAAGCCCACTGTTCATGTGTGTTTTCACCCATATCAGTACTGTGAGAACATGAAACTGACGTCTGAATGGTCTTATGAGAAGAAATACACAAAGATATTTGATATGCATTAGTGAGTAATTTGCAGGTGCAGTTCTGCACAGTAACAATGCTGATGACCTCCCTACTCATGCATTTGTTGCACACAGAATGTTCCGCTATTATCATGATCAGGCAAACACAATCTGGCCAGTTGAGAAAAACTCTGTATTATTAACAAGACTTTAGGAAATTAGTTACAGATTAAATGACATAACTGATGGTCTGATACCAAACAATGAAGTTACTAGTGACAGTTCCTTACTGAACATGCAATTGTGTTGTCATCTGTACATTTAATCATTCTGTAAAACAGGGTAAAATAATTTTTTGTGCCTCAACATCACAGAGGTGTCATCACACCTTGAGAAGTTATTGCTACACACGAACCTGTTATTTTATTAACTACAACAGCAAAACAGAAGCACACCAGTACAAGTCAATGGCACAGTAGTTGAGATGCATTAATAATTCAGGAGAAAACATCTTGTTTGTGTCTTTAACAATGCTAAAAACTGAAGAAATTGACTAATATAAAATAAGATATGGGAGATTTACTGTAAATGGAAATCATTCAAATTATACACATCTTATATATAAACCAAGTACACTTCCATTGACAAATGCTTTCTTATGTCTCAAGAGTGTTTACTGCTTTTCTTAATTATGTGTACCTTGATCAGTACTGCCACAGCTAACAAGAGATGAGCAGACATAAAAGCCAGTTTCACGGACAAATCTATTGGTGTGTGTTAAAGTTGTGAAGATAAGTTCCAGCAACTCATCATCCACAAATAGCTGAAAGTTGGCACCACACCCATCAATCATTGCCTGTAAGCATTTGAGGCTTGTCTCCAAGTTCTTCCATCCAGCTGTATCATGGAAAATCTGGGCTGCTTCAGCACTGTTGCGCTAAATGAGGCATACATGAAGTCAGAACTCATTCAATAACAACAGGGACATTACAGTAGAAGGGTTCTGTCACAGAGGTTTAAGTCTCTGAGATACATTCACTTTGTACGCAAGCAAAAAATATTCTTTCCCCAATAAGTGGTCTACATGCTTATTATTCAACAATCATGACCGCTTTCTTACGAACTAAATGTGTTTCAGATCCACTAATAAGTGTAACTGAAGATGAAAATAATGACAAAATTTCTCTAACTGCACCATTATCAAATAAGAGCTGTGACTCTAAACTGATTACTGAGATGCAGTATAATAAATTACCATTTATTGGAGGAAGTGACCTACAAGAAGTTGTGGGTAATACTGTTAACACTTTTCTTAACATTCTTTTATCAAGAAGTTGCAAGTTTCATTGCCCCAGGGACTAGCAGGTAGGTAGGAATCGTAACTGAAGATGGATTTAGAAGCCCAGATCTCATGTGAGGAACTGGAAGCCAGTAACTAGTGAAGTAATAATATACATGTCACACTTCGCATATCTACATATATACAGAACAATGAGCATCATGCGGGAGCATGGAAAAGAGTTATTTTACAGGCATGCCTTCACTGAAACACATACGAAGGGGGACCCAAAAATAACCAGAAACGACCTGTTGCGCGCGCATGCTTTGTAGTTACGAGTTGTGCTGCTAGGTGGTGTTAGCTGGGGGTCTCCCGCGACTGTTAGTGAGCTGGCGTCAGTCTGAGTTAAGTGGTTTGTCTGTGGTGCTCTGTTGTGTGCGTTCCTGTTTCAACCCTTTGGCGATTAGTGAGATGGCCGACCAGAAGGAACAAAGAGTGTGCATGAAATTTTGCTTTCTGTTAGGGAAAACTGCACTTCACTCTTCAAGTCGCGGCAAACATTCACGCGGTTTTCTCTTTGGTCATCTCTGAGCAAGCGAGGAACAAATTTTGCAGACACCCGTCTCATGTGCAAACCTTTGGTTACAATTCGCTGGACTATGCTCCACGAGATGTTCGTTTCCTCAGAAAGTTGGTCAATGGTCTTTCGACGATCTTCATCAATTTCACGCACACTCTTTGTTCCTTCTGGTCGGCCATCTCACTAATCGCCAAAGGGTTGAAACAGGAATACACACAACAGAGCACCACAGGCAAACCACTTAACTCAGATGGACGCCAGCTCACTAACAGTCGCGGGAGACCCCCAGTTAACACCACCTAGCAGCACAACTCATAACTACAAAGCATGCGTGCGCAACAGGTCGTTTCCGGTTATTTTTGGGTTCCCCCTTGTATATTCAAGAGAATGTGGCACAAGACAGAGTCAAACTAATTTTGAAATTCACTGACAAAAGCATTAAAGAAATCTATTCTGTATCACAAGAGCTTTTCAAACTTCACAGCACAGTTGAAATATTTTGCCAATATTCTCTGTTAGCATATCTGCTAGGAGACAATGTGGCTATTGATGAGTTTGGTATCATGTTGAAGGGGGCTTGGGTTTCATACATTGCACCTCATTAGAGGCCGCTAAATTTGGGATAAAAATCCTCTGAATTTCATGAGTCAACATCTGGTTACCTGTGGGATTTCATGATGTACCCAGGGGCTGGAATAACATTGTCACAAATACTGATGTGCCTGACAAACTCAGAAACAAAGTTCCAGGATTATTCTGAAACTTATGGATCATTTTGTAGACACAGGACATTCACTGTGGATGAATAATTATTAGAATCCACCATTCCTTGCTGTGTTGCTAAGATAGCAGGGACCTTCTTGCCTGAACACGAAAAGAATTCACAGCTTTATTGAAAGTAAAAAATTTAAACAAGGGTGAAATTATTGCTGCAGAGACCGATGGTCATGAATGGAAAGACATGGAAGATGTGTCATCCATTTCCACATTCCATGAAATTTCAAAGAAAACTAAAACTATTCATTGGGTTCATGTAAGGGATTAGTGCTCCTCATCCAATGCTGCAGCCATTCCTTATAGAAAGGAAGAGAGGACTGAAGTGGTATATAAAATTATTCAACATTTACTAATTTTGCAATACACAAATTTATTGTCTATGGAAAACTTAGCTACACACCCGACCTGGCAAAACCCAGACTATCTCAAAGAAGCCATATTCCAGCCTCCCCTGGTGCTGGATGGCTATCAGTCAGTCCACAAAAGTGGCTTCTGGAAAGGCATGTACACAAAAATGTGTAGGAACTTCAAACGTAGTTGGTATAGTGACTGGTTATTGGCTGGACAACAGAGGGATCGGAGTTTGGTAGGGTGAAGAATTTTCTATTCTCCGCATTGTCCAGACTGGCTCTGGTGTCCACCCAACTTCTTATCTAATGCGTACCGGTGGCTCTTCCCATGGGGTTAAATTGGCAGGGGCATGAAGCTGACTACTCACCTCCAACTAGTGCCAAGGTCAAGAAAATGTGGAACTATATATCCACTCTCCACATGCCTTTGTGGCATAATCCTTAATTGGTTAAGCACAGGGACAACTTTATCTTTTACAAATCAACATAATAAGCAAGATATGGCAGAAGAAGTGAAAGACACATCATACACTTAACTTTACATAAACAACAAAATCCTTATGATTATTCCACTGTAAATATTAAAATTCCATACGTGAGTATAATGAGCAAGCTCTATTAATTATTTAAGGTTTGCCAATTCATCAAGAGAGCAGAAGGGGTGTGTGACAATGCCAAATGACACTTGACTTCTGTTAATGAAAAGGCATTTAATTCTTAGTTGTGCTTTATATGAAATATAATTCCACATAATATACACCTTCTTGGAACACAGTTATATTAGTAACTGGTCTGTGCATATCATTACTCTACTTAGTATTCAGTTTATGAGCCTCTTAATTTGACTGCAAAAATTTCATAGGTAACTATTATAAACATCATTAAAGCAAATGTACACTAATAAGATGAGCGTCAGTATGCAAAACTCTCTTAAACAAACCTGTACATAACTTCTCTAAGCATCAGCAATAATTCTGATTATTGTATTCTACATATGGAATAATCTGTTACTTGTGTTTTTCCAGAGCTTATACCATATGACATGACTGGGTGAATGTGAAGGACATTTAGACTTAGATTTCATCTCTGCCAAACCAGTGAACGAACAACTGAAATTAAAATGACACTGTTGGCAGCTTTCAGCCATCAATCTCAAGTCTTGTTGCAGATTTTCCTGGTTCCTGACTATTTACCTACTGATCAAATGGCTCACCAAGATCTCCACAAACATTAAGTGGTGGTGCACACCAGTGGTATCACTAGCCACATTCATCACATAAAGATCTTCATTTATCTACTGCCAACAAGAACTACATCTGCCAAATATGTCAGTATCTTACCTCCCATCATTTTTAACAGTACTCTTATATCTAATGGGGCTAACTAAATACAGCATTTAGATTCCAGGTATAATTTCTGTACTACAGCCATGTTGAAAAGACTTAGACAACAGGCCTAAAATAAATTCTAAAGAGTTCTCACGATGGTGTATAACACTCGGGATTACTGGGTTTTTGGACTTTGTCCATTGTCTGGTATTTTTATTGTATATTTTACTGTTAGCTCCTGTAGATAAACGCTGACCTCATGTTGTGTGTGTGTGTGTATCTGCAGTTATACTGATATAAAGTGATTGAGGTTAGCTCTTTCTAACAGACCAACAGAGTTGGTGTCTCCCACTCGCTCACCTGAGTGAAAGAAACAGATCCAGTTTCTGAAACATGTTCTTTAGAATACCAGACAACAGACTGTCCAAAAATCCAGTTGTCCTGAGTAAGTCTAAAATGTTCCATACTTGTCACTAATAGAGACAAAGGAAAACCAATATTAAATCCATTATTGAAGACTATTGTGGATACTGGGCACAACAAACCCATTAATATATGCTATATAATTTCAGCTACTGACAGCTTCATTATATAGGTAAAGTTGTCCATGCACTTAACTAATTAAGCACTATACCATGAAGGCACATGGGTGAGTGGATGTATGGGATAGTGCAGTCGGTATAGCAAATGCCTACAGGCTGAAAAACTGGGAGGTTGGAGTTCAAGCCCTGGTAGGGTCAAGAATTTTCTCTTCTCCATGTCGTCCAGACTGGCTCTGTGGTCCACCCAACCTCCTATCCAATGCGTACCAGGCTCTTTCCCCGGGGGTAAAGCAACTGGGGTGTGAAGCTGACCACTCACTTCCAGCTGGTGCCAAGGTCAAGAAAATGTGGATCTATACAGCTTCAATATATAAACCATGAACAACTAAAGAAATAAATAACAAAGCATAAGGGAAAAAGGCTGAGGAGTTGGAGAAGTCAAAGAACTTTAACATGCAATCCACCAAAGAAAAAAAATGATGTCATAGCACTCCATATATATGGTATAAAGTTTACCAATAACAGTGAAAAGTTCAACTTCGAAACCGAATTGACACTTTCAATTAATCTAATACTATCTTCAATGATAACTCATACAAATAGGTACACCATTCTTTCAAATATGATTTGTTATTTCCTAAAGAGTTGAGCATGACAACTTACCCTTTGGGAAGGACCTGCTAGCTTTTCCATTAGTTTTTCAGTTTCTAATTGCTCATGTTTTGAGCCATCATCATCATGGGTCACTTGCCTCTCCAAATTACTCTGTATCAATCGCAACACATACTCCTTACAATCTTGATACACAGCTGGGCCAATTTTTCCACAAAGTACACCTAATACTTCACCTGTAACAAAGTACATATTATTGTGAACTTGAGTAGACAGCTGACCATTTGCAACGTCCATTAGGCTTTTAAATTGTTTATGTGTATGATTTGAGGATCTCATAGCAGTGTTTGCAGATTATAGTCATACGAATGTGACACCATGTAGTCATGGCAAGTGTTCACTGATGTTTTGGAAGAATGTCCTGCCTCTGTATTCTACTATTCTGGTGATGGTGGTAGCAAGTTCCTCCAAAATATCGATAATCTGCCAAACTGTGCAGTATCATATCCCACACGACACTAATCTGCACAAATGGATTACATAAAATATTCCTATCAACGCCTAAAACTATGTAGTAAATTCATCAATTCCCAAGACAAAAGTAAAGTGGCACTGTGACAGGTGGTGCTACTGCTTCTACATTTATTGCCATGCGCCTGCATTTGGTGAAGTCTGCAATGGGAACAGTCCAGATGCTTTGGGCAATGTTGGCAAACAAACAACGTCCTCAGTCAAGATGTGTGACCGGCATCACAGGTTCAAAGTTTGTTTTGAATTACTGAAAGGCCCATGTGATAAATCTCCATACTTGTAGTCCAGCTGGTTGTGTTGCAGTACTGGAAATATTCCTTTACTTCCAGCTTTTTACAGATTATAAACACTGACCCCATGAGAGCCATTCTTAGCTTTAAAGGAACAAGTTCCAGTCATGTCCTGACCAGGTGATCATACTGTCAGTGCATCATTCACACACATTCAAGATTCTGTCAGTTCTGAGACAGTGGCACATCAATGAGTCAAAAAGGGGCCCACATTATCAGTTGCCACATGACTTCTGCAAATTGTATGATATGCAATAACACGAGTTTTATCTGAACGGAGAAAGAAAGAAAGAAAGAAAAAAAAACTCTTGCATTTGTTACCAAAAATTGATACCACACTGGTTAAATAACTGTTTCATTACTAAGTGAGCTATAATAATAAGTCACAGGTATACATGCATACGTATTTAAGTCAAGATACTAACATATCACTACTTTCTAATATTCACGTTCTCATTTCCAGCCTATGCTTTTATTTGCATGATAAAGAATGTGCTTCATTATTTTTTACACGTGCTGTCACTCTAGATCTCATACATACTCACTACAAAAGTGTAAAAACCATGTTAATCCAGGAAACACTTAAAAACATTAAAAAGTGTTACTTTCATGGTTCAGTGGTATTGTACACACTGTCAGAAGAAGTTATCAGATAACGCATTGTCTGACACCTCTAGCCAGCCCATTAAATACACTGCTAGGCAGTTTGTTCAGGCTTACACTAGCTGTTTGTCGGTGGTTCAATTAGAAGAGGCATAACACAGTACAGGGAACTTATTAACTTTATTCACTGCTTCACAGCATTATGTTCCATGGCATAGTATGTTGAAAGTCAAGAAACCAGTGTGAAGCACATAGCAATCAGAGCTCCACTTGATATTTGCTTCATGCTAATTTCTTGGGTGGCTTATTCTTAAACCCTGAAGATGAAGGAGACATGTTCCTCTGAAATGCTGGTTAACTTTCAATGGACTACACAGCATATATCCCAGAAGACAGACCTATCTTTATGATTTGGCAGCTGTGGGCTGCAGCTGTCAGCTCCAGTAGTCGTTTTGTTCTTGGTTACTCACAAGTGATCAGTGTGTTATGTGATGGTGCAGTATATTTTACAGTAATGTGTATTTTGTATGACACCTGTGTTGGTAAAATTCTCCAATATAAACATCACAATGAAAGAGTTCCCAGAGGGCAAATAATTCTCACAATTTGGTTAATAAACTCAGATAAACAGGACTGTTCATAGACAAAAAAAAACCACAAAAAAAAAACTTAAGTGCCAAGTGCTTATTGTGGAGAAGTTATATGACAGAGGAGCCAGAGTTGAACATATGCAGAATGATTGAACCATCTATCTCAAGAGACTGGGGTGTCAAAGTCAACTGCAAAAAAGGCAACAAATTTGCTGAAGCTTATATCTAATAAAGCAGCAGCAATCCATTCCCAACCAACTGCAATATCTTGCTAGCAGAGTTCATCTTTGTAATTGGTTTCTACAGTCTGACATCAAAGATGAAAACGATCCGCATTTGACTCTCTTTTCTGATGAAGAATTGTTTCACTCTCAGGGATACATAAGTATGCAAAATAATCACTACTTTAATTACCAGAATCCACATCTAACCTATCACGTCTTACTGTATCGCATGAAAGTTGGTGTCTGGTGTGCTGCTAAGTGCAAGGATTGTTGGACCTGTGTTTTTAATGAAGAATTAATTACAAAGGATATGCACAGGTCATTCTTGGGCAGTTCTTTCTGAAGTTAAGGGAAGAAGAAAGCCTGAACAGCTTGTTTCAGCAACATTCCACAAATGCCCATACTGCACATCTATGCAAGCTTTGTCTGATGTCTGCGTGGACAGAATTACTGGTGATAGTATTTGGCCAGCATACTCACCTGATCTTAATCCTTGTGATTCTTTCTTCTGGGGTTGTTTAAAGGGCAAAGTTTACATGAGCAACTCCCGAAGTAAAAAGAACTAAAAGAAAACATTCATAGGGAAATTGTGAATATTTCTGGAGAACAGCTTCAAGGAGTAAACCAGAACCTCTTCTGCTGGTATGAGGAATGTCTGTGAGTAGAGGGACAGCATTTTCAACACCTCCTGTGATCTGTGAACTGTAACTGCTTCATTTCAAAGGTTTTTGGCCATCAGACATATTGATTCAGTGGAAGAATTTGTCTTTGGCTTGCAGACGGTGGTGCACTGGTTGCCGTAAAGCGAAGCACTGTGAATTGATCAATAAAGATAAGAATTTCCCTGTATATGCCTGAGGTGAGGAGGGAGTGCATAACATTTAAAGTTATATATTACCTGAATGTGAAATGTTATTAAACTTCAATTTCTTGCATGCTCAGGGAGTGGACAACACGGCATGATCAGTGTTTCTAAAAAGTCATGCCCACCCATGAGTGAAAGAAAAACAGTGACAGTGCATCTGTGGTGTTAGTGATCTGACTGGCATTTATCACTTTATGAATGTTGAGATGGGATTCAAATTATTGCCACATTCAACTAAGGCCATCTGGAGTTACAGTCTCAATTGCATTTCTGGTTCTTACATGCATAAGACCAAAATAACATCAGGAGATGGTGTCTTGGGTCTGAAATCACCACCTCCTCCAATCCAACATCCTAGAACATGTAGATTCTAAAGGTTTCTGACGATGGTGGATAACACATAGAATTACTGGGATTTTGAACTTTTTCCATCGTCTGGAATTCCAGGAAATAGAAAACATGATGTTTCTGAAACTGGAGCTGTTTCTGCCTTCGGGTGAGGAAGGAAGACATCTACTCAGCTGCACCCCTTAGAAACAGCAAATCTCAATCACTGGACAACAACTGTCAGATTTACCCAGCTATTTCAACATATATGACTGGGCTAGTTCAGCGGGAGATAACAAGAAACCATAAAATAAAAATTGACTTGTTGGCTAGGTTTCTAACACAAATTTTTCTATCTACTTTTCTATCCTAGTTCCGCACATGTGCATGCTCTATCACACTTTTTATTTTATGGTTTCTTGTTATCTCCCGCTGAACTAGCATAGTTTTATACATGTATGCTGAAATAGCTGGGTAACTCTGACAGCTGTCATCCAGTGACTGAGATTAGCTCCTTGAGGCTCAATTGAGTAGGTGTCTTCCTTCCTCACCTGAAGACAGAAACAGATCCAGTTTCTGAAACATTGTGTTTTCTATTTCCTAGAATTCTGGACGATGGAAAAAGTCCAAAAACCCAGTAATTCTGTATCCTAGAACATGTTCACTTACAGTTGCACAGTGACTCTCTTTGCATGGTTGGGCTTCACATGTCACCACACACAGAAAATAATTAAGCAATCTGAACTCATGGAGTCCTGCTTCCCTTTATACAAATTATCTGTGGAAGTCTAAATGAGTATACCCCAGAACTATGGACTGAATTAGGGTGTTCAAAATTTTGGAACTTATTCTGTTCCACTCTTATCTTTGGGATTACACAAAACAGGTGGTAAGAATTGTGGAAACCAATCACAAGGACAATTTATGGGTAAGAATCAGTGCTACTCTTGAATCTGCAACTTTAGATGTTCTTACTTCAGTATGGTATCAAAATACAGATGAGACAACTGCAAAACAAGAAATGGGCCTTACTGTTCTGCACTAAGAGATGAGATATTTGTAGAGCAACAGATGAGACTCACATCACAGTTCACTAACAGGTTCTACAGTTTCTAGTTCAATATTATAAATGCATTCCTTACTTTTAAACGAAAGTTGCATCAAGTATGGCAAGAACTTACCAGCTGCCATCCGTACTCTTACTTCTATGTCGGTCAGGAACTTTTCTGCAATGGCTTTAATTCTATGTACAAAATCAGCTTCATGCTCATCATCTAGATTCAGGTACGGGATCAGGGCTTTGGCTCCTAACAAGCAACCATGCTTCGTTTCCCAAGATGTTTCTGAATCACTAATTAGAAGTACAAGATTAACTTCAAACTGCACTCTTTCATTTTCAGTACATGTTGGCAAAACCCGCTGCAGCTCTCCAACACCTCTGTCTCGCTCAAGTTTCATTGAATTACAAAGTAATTCCAATATTTCTGTTGTCATTGTAAATTCCTTAAAACCAAGTGGGGAATTGGGACTCAGAAACGTTATGTTCTTCTACAGCACGCAGCAAATACCATACAGCATCACTTATTCTGCAATTTAAACTACATACTTTAACATCCACAATGCGTTACATTCAGCTAACTGCGGCTGCATTATCCGTAATTCTGTATTTCGTATATTAATTCACTTGCATAATACGGCAATACACTTGCACCCACACAATTTTTATAAAATAACTGAACTCACTCATGGACACAGCGAAACAAGTGACAACTCGAAGTTCTATGAACATAAATTATTTATATTCAAGCTATGTCAACTACATTGAGCACAAAAACATTATTTCAAACAGCATTACAGAGTCGAGCTACTATGACAAGCTACGTTCGAATTTGCGTGAAATACTGTAATTACCTATTCATTGACTGATAGACAAGCGAGAAAATTTACGATTCTAGAACGGTGTCATGTTGTGACGTCACTCTAGACCTATTGTAATCCGTGCTGCAACGACACTTTTTGTTGACTAAATGTGTGAAGTGGGTTGCATTTTCAATGTGGAAATGTTGTGAGCTATGCGCGAAGCATCCAGTTAATTTGGTAAATACAAATAGTTATATACACAGTTTTCCTAGTAGTATGTTTAACATATACTAATGACTTTTGTGAATTCTCAGCTACCAGGTTTGTCAACTGATCTTAGGAGGGGTAGGTCTGGCGGTCGGTCTTGCTTGTGTTTGCTGCTGTAGCTCCAGTGCCGAATAGTTCGTTTGCTACTGATTTGAAAGATATGTACATACTAAATGTGACTCACCATTTGATATACAGAAATATATTTTTTGTAACATGCCCTGAAAATTACTGAATTACATTATTGTTATTAGTATATAGTTATATTGTACTTGTTATTTTAGGTAGGCCATTAATATTCCTCCATGTGAGCTGTAAATGACGTGACAATGAAGATAACGCCCCCTGTTTATGTTAGCAATAATATTATATAGCGTAATGTAAGTATTTTAACTTTTGCATTAAGAACTTGTGTTTGGAACATTTTTAAACATCCGTATGAACATTTATTTTTCAAACACAAGGTTCTTCGGATTCGTTTTACTATCGTGCACATACCAGCACCGAACGAAAACTATAACTGTTGAAGAAAGAACAACAGAACAAACAGTGATACATCTAACATGAAATATTAGCTTCAGTATGGACTAATTATTATATTGAAATTAAAATACCAAGCAATAATTTTTAGCACGTTCACGATTCTGCGTGCCCCATTGTACACCTGAAACAGTGCAAAGCTGCCGGACGGAGTTTTATGAAATTTAATACTGGAGAATTCTACGAAAATTCGCCCAGCCGTTTCAGTTTTCATTTAGGTCGAACGTGTTTAACAACTTTACATGAAGATGTAAATGCATTTCCTGGCTTATCTAGCCCAATATTCATCGACAAGAAAATTTTATTGTATTGTTGAAGAGGTAAATGAAACACATTTTGTATGCAGTGTATTAAAGTGACCATTTTCTTCTTGGCATTTTCGGGGACAGCCATTCTGAAGTCACTGGTGGAAGCTGGGGAAGTTAGCTGGTATGTAATACACCCTACAGTCATGATCTTTTTATATTCGTGTTATTGAACAGTATCAAGAAATAGGTCTATGAAATTGAAGTGAAGTGATACAGTACATGAAATGGTGGACTATCCTAAGCATTGAAACTACAAACATAATAATATAATATGTGAGACATAATTATTTTTACAGTACCTTGATTATTTTGAATAGGAGGTCCTTGCAATGGCAAGGTATTTGTCTGTAGATGGGATCTTTTTCAGTACTCCAGCATTTGATACAAGTTTTTCACAAAATTCTTCACACGAGAAATTAGTATTTGTTTTCACTGCCAAAATGGCTTGTATTGTGTCCATATGCAATGATTTCTCTTCAGACCAGATGTAGTTCATACGGGAAACACTATTTCAGTGGATGCATAGCTGCCAGGCAGGTATAATGAAAGTTCAACATTGAGTGCCTTGCCGAATGTTTTCTTGCGTGTCAAGTGCAGCTAGCTTCTTTTCTGTTGCTCTCTTACCCCGTCGGCGAATGAACTGGAGGCCTCTATACTGGTACAACGTTCGGGCAAGTCGACGTGGGCACGGTGAGCCAAGTGGCCTATGACTGCAACAGATTCCTGCAGGGAATTCGCGACGCCCTGGGCCCTTCTCAGCTGAGCGTGGAACGCTTGCAGACAGTGATCACCCTAGCGGTTCTCGATCGCCGCACTAACCTCTACTTACGTGACCCTCCAAGGGGCGCCATATAGAATGTGTACGGCCGATCATTCAAGCCGGTGGTCAAGTATGCGGGCCTGTTGTGGGGCGTGCAGTTATTGTATTCCACCGTGGTCTCGAACTGCCGTCGGAAGATTGCCCATGAGGCCTATCCGTCGAATTTAGGTGGCTGTGTCGCGCCTACACCGTTTCACCTTCTCGCAAGATCCGCACTTAGCGTGGGCTTCGGTGATATAAAGTTCGCCTGCCATGCGGGCGGCCCGGGCTTCGACTTTTTTTTTCAACTTCCTTTCGAACTCTAGCTGTATAGGCGTAGTTTCCACTAAGGTCTGCGTCGCCTTTGTCGTGACCTGGGTCACGAGGCCGAGTTCTTCGTGAAGGTCTTTCCTCGCGCCCACTGTTGTTTCTAGGAGGCACTCCGTCCATGTCCACCGGCATTTCTTCGATCTTTCTTGTGAAGGCCCTGTGTCTTTTGGTAAGCTCGAACCAGGACGTCTGATACGCCAGGACATCATGGTCTCTTCTAGCCCGGATCGGATGGAGTGTACTGCAACCTCCAATTCTCTCGGCCGCTCCTTATCGTGGCTTCCGTCTTATTTGATTGGTTTTCATTTCTACATGAAATTTCCTTTCCTGGTTGGATCTCATTTCCTCTTCATGGACGTCCGTTCTGGTTATCATATCGACTCTCGCCCCTTCGATTATGACTGCCAGAGGTTCGAAATCCCCCAGTCTGTCACTTTGTAGCCAACCGTGGAGGCATAAGCCAGTAATTCAATAAATCTAACGTTATGTAATCCAAATAATCCCAATTTTGACACCAGTATTGGATTGGTAATTGGATTTATTGGATATAAATCATAACTACAATTTAACATAGCGCTGTCGCTAATTCACATACTCTTCAGTTCACTACAGCACGCACTAAGTCCTCCCGCTCTGCTGTTTCTTGGAAACAGCTCCCAACGCCGTAAGTTCCTCCGCCTCAGCGGTTCATGTCCTTGCTGGCTAGCGACTACCCCGCGCCTAATACAGTTCAGTTCAGTTCAATGAATTGCTTCTGGTCCTCGCCAGCACAGTCGTTCTTGGTTTCGAGTCCCATAGGGACCCATGGCCTAATTTGTGTTCGTTGCAAGACCGTTAACGTGTTTTAAAATGACGTCTTCGTCGAGAGGAGGGGACTGTCTTCCAGGGTAGGTACCACATTTGTTGTACCGTAGTTTCGCACGAGTATACCCGCAATCACGGAGCTTGTAAGGACATTTGTACTTTACGGACTCCAAACAAGCTCTGTCACACTACTATGGGAAACAGTTCTTAAGCTACGTGTAGATATGGATCGGACTTCAGTCAGTTCAGATTCGGTCATCAGTCAGTTAACTTGGTGCTTGTCTTCACCAGCAGTCATTGCTGACTTCAGTCTCCTCGAGATCCATAACCAAGATTTGTATTCTCTCCTAGACATGTACGTGGTTTGAAATGGGGCCTCCTCTTCGACGAAGGAGGGGCCGGTCCTTCTGCTAGTATATAGTTGTTACGTTTGTTGGTGCATAGTTTCAGGACGAGTACACGTATATCCGCGCAGTCATGGCGTCCAGGTCACTACGTACAGTGGATCCTTTGTTACTGCACTACAGGGCTACTATAAATGATTCATTCGTTTTTAAAACGCTATATTTTCCAAAGCAATACGCGTATAAATATGATTGATATATAAAAAGAACCGTAAACTCGCCAGGTTTTCTTCACATTCTACAAATGTTCTATGTGTATGTCCCTTGGGTCACACGATACACGTCCAGGCCGTAGTCGAGCTCGTTCCACACATTTTGTAGCATCATCCTGTCAATGGTCATCACTGCAGCATCGATGCATTCCCTCAGCTCTACTAGTGTTCTTTTCAGTGGGGGTACGTAAACACGATCCTTAATGTACACCCAAAGGGAGAAGTCACAAGGCGTTAGAACAGGTGATCTGGGGGCCAAGTGAACAGAGCTACGTCATCCTCACCAACACGCCCAATCCAGCGATGCCGAAGTTCATTGTTTAGGTAGCGACGAACATTGATGTTCCAATGAGGGGGTGCCCCGTCTTGTTGGAAGACAAAATCCCCGGAATCAGCAGCCAGTTGTGGAAACAACAATAACTGCAACATATCTAGGTAAGATGTACCAGTCACAGTTTTCTCACAAAAGAAAAACGGCCCATACAGCTTTGTCTGTGACATTGCACAGAAAACATTCAGCTTTGGTGAATCTCTTTCAAGCGCTACAATTGCACGAGGATTTTCAGTGCCCCACAATCTCACATTGTGACGATTAACCTTCCCGGATAAATGGAATGTTGCTTCATCGCTAAATATCAACTTGGCGGCGAAATCTCAATCCTCCAATGCTTCCTGCATTGTGACGCAAAATTCCAGGCGCCGGCCATAATCTTCCGGGTTTAATTGTTGCAGGAGCTGTAACCGCCGTCGCAAAATCTTCCATACAGTTTGCTGCGGTAGTCCAAGTTCGCGGCTTGCTCGGACCGTTGATTTTTGTGGACTACGTACAGAACTTTCCCTCACTCTGGCACATTTGGTCGACCGGTGCTTTTCCGTTTACACAGACAACCAGTGNAAATATCAACTTGGCGGCGAAATCTCAATCCTCCAATGCTTCCTGCATTGTGACGCAAAATTCCAGGCGCCGGCCATAATCTTCCGGGTTTAATTGTTGCAGGAGCTGTAACCGCCGTCGCAAAATCTTCCATACAGTTTGCTGCGGTAGTCCAAGTTCGCGGCTTGCTCGGACCGTTGATTTTTGTGGACTACGTACAGAACTTTCCCTCACTCTGGCACATTTGGTCGACCGGTGCTTTTCCGTTTACACAGACAACCAGTGTCCTTAAATTGCCGATACCACCGCAAAATGCTTTGTTTACATGGCGGTTCTTTTCCATACTCACTTTTGAATGCGCGTTGCACTGCTATAACAGACGAACATCTCGCATATTCCAACAAACAAAAACTCTTTTCTTGCTTTGTCGCCATTTTGTAAAGGCACTGAACTCATGCTGCCAACTGGTGCAAACAATACAAACTTGGTGAGTTTATGGTCCTTTTTATATATAATCATATTTGTACCGTGTAATACTTTGGAAAATATAGCGTTTTAAAGACGAGTGAATCATTTATAATAGCCCTGTATATTATGTAACCTTTATGCAAAGTACACAGAGGTTTCCTGTCAGTGCAGGCCTTTGCAGCAGGTTATGCCTTATCATATGCAGCTACTCTGAAACTGCGGTTAGTCAGCTGAACGGTCATAGGCCTGAGCGCCCCCCCCCCCAAGTTTAAGCCACTTATACTTTGGTTTCTTCTTTCCCAGTACCTCGTACATTTGGATCTGCATTGGTTTCGGATCTGTGTTAGTTATATAATCATACACGTTAGGAATTTTGGTAGCCATGTGCAATTTTCGTACTGGTGTGCACCTGTCAGGATTCCCATTAGCGCGGAGTGCCCTTTTCTATAGGCGCTGCAATTCCAAGAGTTGAGCTTCCGCCGCAAAGATGTCAAAGAAGTTGTACGTCAGGTTTATAATTTAACAGTCTTTAATTTTTACTTATAGCCACTCGTGCGAAGAGCTTACGACTTTTCTGAGTCTTGCACGGGCTTTGTTCCGGCAGGTGGAGCTTTCAACATACAAATCAATTAAATTATGTTGCTTTATTTATATATATACGTATATACACTACGTCGATTTTACTTAAATTTACACTTTGTAAACTGTCGGTCACGTGAATTTGGCACATATATTTGTTGTGCGTAAAAAACAGTGTGACGCCAAACAGCCTTCCTCTGGAATGAACTTACTGACATCTTTATTCTGGTCCTTTGGAAGAGGAATGCGGGCCTACGTCCGGCTTGGTTTTCGCTCTGCAGAGAGTTACGTGATGTGATGCCAAAATACTGCCATGATGCAATGCACAGCCTGCACTGGTCTGATTGGCTATCAATCCACGGTGAATACCCGGGTTACAAACCTTAGCCAGTCACACCACAAATGCAGCAGCGTTACATCGTCCATTCCTTTTAGAATGTTCCATACGTCGAAACGTCTCCAAAGACAAAGAAATTCTCAAGCTCTTAAGGTAGCCCGCACACCGGCATGCATCAAGACATCATGTCTGCGACATGACGCAGAGAAAGGAGCACAACTGAAACGAATGAAATTATGAAAACCGCTGGACACCGGTTATCATAATATCATTCGTTTCAACTGTGCTCATTTCTTTGCGTCATGTCACAGACATCGTGTCTTGATTATTACATGTCTTGACGAATGCCAGTGTGCGGCCTACCTAAAACTTCGCGAAATGTTATGTCATGTTACTCAATTCTACATAGCGTCTACCTCGTGAGTTGATTGCTTCATACTGAGTTGGATTATACATAATTAGAGTGAAAGCATTAACATGTAAAAATGTAATTAATATATATGTACGTGTATAAATGTGTAAATATATGTAGGTAAATGGGACGATAGGTTATAATAAACTATTATGTTTCTCCGAAACGGTGGCTCGTAGAAAGAATGGTTCCTTTGCTGAGCGGTCATAGAAAAACTCTCGTCAGTAAAGGGGAATGGAGTGGCCAAAAAATTAACACTTCACCCGCTTTCAAACTTGCCATACGTTATGGTTTCATGTTTGTGTCATTTAGAAACGTCCCATTATATTTTTGCATGGGGCATATGTAATATTCTTCATGAAGTTCTCAAAATAAACTCCCAGAACTGCACGGCGTTACAACCCAGAAGAACCTTAAAATTTGCACTAGACTGTGGGGTGATGTGTAGAAAGATACGTTACACGTAGTTCTGTGTTCTAGTAGTTAGTATGTAGTGGGCTGTATAATTATGTATGTTCAAGCGCAAAGAGAGGTCTCGGTAATGCGGGAATACAATTTTCTTCATACGGCTACCCTACAGTAAGTGTGCTCTGAAGGTGTGCCTCTTCCCAGACGTAGATGCCGCGCCATGCCTCGGTCTCTTATGCCGTTGCTGCATTCCTATTGCGTCTGAAGTGTCTTCTGCAGCGTCGGCCCTTTAGGGGTTCTTCGTCCATCGGAAGCCCGGCCCTACAAGGTAGTAAGCCCGGTTGTAGTGATTCTCCACGGCCTCTATCTTTTCTTGATTCCCTTCCTACTCTGTGGCCTTCATTTCTTTCAGTCAAGCCGTAATTTCGGCTCTGGTTTGTTTTTGGCCGGTCTTTATTTCCGCCTCCCTCTCTCCTAAACAGGCCTTCGTCTCTTCCTCCGTCTTGTCCTCTGATTCTTTCTGCCTCCTTATCGCTGCTTTCATCTCTTGTTGGCCGTTCTCTGTATTTTCTTGGTTGACAGCCATCCGGAAAGCGAGAGAACCTGTCTGGGTTTCCATTTCTTATATTGGAATCTGCCTTGGCCATGAGACGTTTCATCATTTGTTCCATATTCGTAGTATGGCGATATAACGATCTCCTGCGTCTCCAGTTCAACAGTTCAGTCAGTCCAATCTAAATATCCCACTCCTGATATGTCACATGTTCGTGGCCAGACACGGGGTTTGAATTCATAATTTGATTTATTGAAGGCTTATAACTCGTAACTTCAAATAAATATGACGCCCTCACTAATTGGCGCACTCTGCTTCTCACTACGTCATTATTCTTCACTAGCCGTTGCCTGGTAACGGATCCAAATAGTCATTACGGACGCTCGACAGTTTCGCAACTTCCCGTAGCCGAAACTGAAGCATGGCGGCGACTAAGTTAAAATAAGTTATGTTACGACCGACGGTCAGTCGGCCGGCCTGTGTTGGTGTGAAGCCCCATCTGGGGTTCAAGACCAGAATTTGTTACTCTCAGACAGTTGCGAATTTATTGATGGAGGGCACCTTCCCTGACGAGAGGACGAGTCTGTCGTTTACAGTTGCTTTTGGTTGTCGCCAGCGCAGTCATTCTCGTGTCCTAGTCAGGCGGGACTCATGACCATATTCTACTGTCTTTGATTCGAGTTGATTCGAGATTCCCCCAACCTGGAGGGCCAGGTCTCCGTATTTACTTCCACGGGATCAAGGTGGTCCAGTTATACCCAGAGGCACAGGGTTCAATTTTCGCCCCCTGCTACAACTCGCAAGACTGCGGTGGAGGTAATGTAACCTGCCTCCACACGGACAATCTAAGTTTAGACCAATGGTTCTTAACCTTTGTCAGACCTCGGCCCAGTAAATTTCTTTTCCTATTAGGTGAGGGCCCGGCGGTTAACAGCTGGTTTAGACAACTTCGTGCTTGCTGTGTAACCTCGGGGCGGACCTAATAGAAAACACCGCGTACAAGAGTTCTTTTGCTTGCGTATTTGTTGCCTCGGAAACCAGTTGGCACATGTCTTGTGGGTCTGCTCTTTCGGTTTTCATCCTACATGTCACAATATACTTAGCTTTCTCTGAGTTTACTTCTAGACCAACCTCCTTACTAGCTTCAGCTAGAGTTTCTGTGTTCCTTATGGTATATGTGTAATCTCCCAGTCAGTAGATTTACATCATTGCATCATTTGACCAGCAGCTGATATGTCCCATTTGATTTCAGTCCCACCTGGTTTTCTTGGACCAACCTGAAGTGAAGAGACTTTTCTAAGATCTAGACGGAGATGGATGGATACTGTTAAAATTGACGTTAAATAAATGGGCTTGATTTGGATAGTGGCCTGATATATTATGATTGGGGATAGATACCAGAGGCGGGATCTTGTGACCCTGGTAATAAAGTATTGGGTTCCATAACGTGCGGGCGATTTGTAGACTAGATGAGCTGCTGTTAGATTCTCAAGAATGACTCAGTTTCGTGCAGGTACATATGTCAGTATTTGTGTTTGAGGAGCAGCTGAAACCGCCTGTAAGCTTGTCAGAATAACTTTCAGGACGGTATTCAAATACGGATATACTGGTTATGAAATTTAAGTTCCAGCAACTCGGCCCAGTGCTTAGTGAAGCATGTAATTAAGCAAATAACGATAAAAAGATGTAAGATTTGAAGTTTTCACGGCGGAGACTATGAACAAAGCAGTCTTCTGGGATGTGGCGTCATTTAGAAGTTGTGTTAACCGACGTTTCGGAGGAACGTATCGCCTCCTTCTTCAGGGTAGAAGATAAATAAATCTGCAAGCGAACCAGGTGCAACGCTGTTGCATTTGTCTTCTACCCTGAAGATGGAGGCGATATGTTCCTCCGAAACGTCGGTTAACACAACTTCTACACGGCGCTACATCCCAGAAGATTGCTTTCTTAAGTGATAAAACGCCTAGGAATTAAGTGCTAGAATGTGTAAATCTTATTTTTTTTGTGTGTGATTTATATTGTTTTTAGACAAAACATGTTCGTGTGTTTCCGCGTGAGGTGCTCGTATTTTCAAATTGCCCTGCAATGATAGGTCAAAGGATCTAAGTCGTTAAAGCTGAAGAAGGTCTTTAAACGTATCTGTTAATAAAATGGTCTCCATGAACTCCATGCTCTTTGCCTATTCAGAACGTGCATGTGGTCACCTACTCTGAACCCCCACCCCAGCGCCCTAGCAGTTGGTGGGGCGGAAGTTCAGACATTGGCTGAAACATTTCAGGAACTTAATTTTTTTCCCCCGTTACTGCCGCAAACCAGCGGGATGCACTGATCTCCGTGTCTGTTCAACCGATTCAACCATTCGTTCGCCGGCTCCTATCACGTAGCACCTCGTCTTTGCTCCGAACCAGTTAGGCAGCGTATTAGCCAACATGGTAAACCAGAAGAAGTGGCATAATGGCCGAAGCCAGCATGGATATGTACCTAGGTAGGTTTTGCTCTCATTATGTTCAGTGTTATATGCAAACACTTTCCTACAGTGTTTACAGAGGTTCTCTTGACGATTCGGGTTATGGAGAGCGTAAGTAAAAAATTGTATATAGACCTGTTCTGTCGCAAACAGTATGCATTATTTCTGGGCTGTAACATCGTGTAATCTAGTATACATTTATCAGAGTATGCACCGAACAACTTGGTCTCGCAGTAACTTTCTAGACTTACATTCGAAAGGTGCTCGGTTCCAATCTTGGCCAGAACATCGGTTATCGGGACTGAAGTTTCTCGTGAGTTTCCCCAGTTCAAGGCAAATGGCGACAGCACCTTGATTAGTTGACAACATTTTTTTTTTTTTCAAATACCATTCAGTTCGTTACCATTCGACCGTGTATAGTCTCAGTATTGATAGAGTCGTTAAAGAAATATCAGAATAGACGTCACATCCCGAAGTACCATAATCTTCACAGTCATTGCCTTGAGAACTTGTCTCGCCTAGTTTCAGTTTTAATTTAAACTTTAATGCCATGTAACGCTCGTTTTTAGAAATGGCATTCCGTACGTTATTGGTGGGAAATCCAGAAGGAAAGAGACTACTGGGAAGATCAAGGCGTAGGTGGGTGGACAATATTAAAATGAATCTTAGAGAGATGGGATGGGATGTTATGGATTGGATTGGTCTGGCTCAGGATAGGGACCAGTGGAGATCTCTTGTGAACACGGTAATGAACCTTCGGGTTTCATAAACTGCTGGGAAATTCTTGAGTAGCTGCAGAATTGGCCGCTCCTCAAGAAGGGCTCAGCTCCGTGATTAAGTAAGTATTCCGTACGTGGTTAATTATCCATTTTAATTCCACCAGCCCCAAATCCTTTTATTAATCTCCAACTTATGTTAGTTAACGTGATTGTGGGACACCCCAATGCACCGGACTGCACCTCAGTATTTGCTACATAAAGAGTACTATTGAGTCCTCGTTATAGAGTAATGAAAACGGCCGCAGTTTTTTTCAAGTGCGCATATGAGTCGACCTAATTGACGTTTAATTTCATGTGATACCGGCTACCCTGAGATGTTTATGGTCGTTTAATAAGTAGTGGCCCACAGTGCCACGAGAGGAGCTAAAATGAAACTTAACATAATCGCAAGAAAATTAGGTTGCAAGCCTTCTGGAGCGCAACACCGTGTAATTCGGTAGATAGGAACCAGCGTTTTTGACAAACCTGCTGCCTCTGTCAGTTAGCTTCCAGCTTCCTCGGTTACCACAATGCCGTTAAGCAAATGCTAGATTAGTACCTGAAAATAAGCCACGACCGCTTCCTTCCATGCCTTTTCCAATTCATTATTTATTAATCGCTCTACAGGCAGCGTCATTAAGAGACTAAACAAATAAATGGAAAAGCAACGGCAGGTAGTTTTCTTCTCGGAAAGAAATATTTCAGAGCAAAAAAAAATGTACGTGTAGAGATATCGGGTCCGTCGACAGATCAGCGAAGTAGATCACAGTACTAATGAAATTGATTAAGATACGCTATATCAGTGTTTTCTTATTGGTAGTGGGGTGGGACTAAGTCCCTTGTACTGCGGCCACTTCTGGCCTATTGTATCAGACACAGATGAGTGTGATTGTGGAGCAGTTGGTGGAATGGAATGAAGATTGGCAGAGGAAACCGAAGTACTTGGAGAAAACCTTCCCCCAGCGCCACTTTGTCCACCACAAATCCCACTGGACCAGACCCGGGATCGAACCCGGGCCGCCGCGGTGGGAAGCCAGCGACTAACCGCTTGAGCTATGGCGCGGCCCCATATCAGTGGCTTAATCAGTTTTATTTTTTCACTTCCACTATATGTTTTGGTCGCTTGGACCATCATGTATTTTCTAAGTAAATAAAATTTGTCATTACTTAATTTCAGGGTTAAATGAATCCATTTTTACAATAAAAATATTAAAAATTTCTTATATATAATGATAAAATATAAACATAGGTTATTGTGGTTGTTTAAATTGTTAAAATGTTAGCAATTGATAAGGGGTGACGTGTAATTTGGGCTGGTTAAGTATGCCGTAGGAAGGATGTATATACAGGGTGATTCACGAGGAGTTACCTCCACTTATGGAGCTCATTCCTGAAGACATTTTGAGCAAATAGTGTCATATAAACCTGGGTCCTATAATCACTATTTACAGAGTTACGTTCATAATTGGAAACGCACTACTGTGAACTGATTGCCAGACCTTTCCCCGTTAGATTATTGCATTTGGGGATGGATGAAGGACATTGTTTACCAAAGGATGGCACAAACACTTGAACTACTTGCTCGCATCATGCACGCTGCTACGGAAGTCAGAGATAACAGTGAGCACCTACGCAGAGCAACGTGCGCGGTTCACAAACGTGCGGACAAGTGTATCGAAGCGGAGGGCGGAATTTTTGAAAATGTGTTATAATCTCTGTAAGAGTTTGCAAAATTGAACTACAGAGAATCAAGTCCATGGAATTAATTTGTTTTTGTGACAATAAATGCATTGAAATAATGTAATTTTGTATTTAAAATTAAAATTTAGAAACCTTCAAATTACGAACGTAACTCTGTAAATATCGAGTATAGGACCCAGGTTTATATGACACTTTTTGCTCAAAATGTCTTCAGGAAAAGCTCCATAAGTGGCGGTAACTCCTCGTGAATCACCCTGTATATATAGTCAGTGTGCAGTCGAGCGGCGAGAGCAATACAGTATCTATAGATACAGTAGTTTCTAATATAATTCTTGTATATGTATTCGTCCTGAAGTTCCTTTAGGTTATATTAGGCACTGTGGGGTAGCTGGTTGGAGGGCAGCGAATTCAGTTGCCCTTGCTATTTTGACGAGCATTCTCATAGCAACCTGTTTTCTTGTTATGTACATTTTAAAAGAACTGGGACGAAGAAAAATAACCATTAAAACCCTATGGCCGACCCCCTCAGGTGCGGTTGTCAACCGGAACACAGTTCCGTGCGTAGGGATGACTTCTGCAGTCACATTCGCGTGTCCCTTCCTTGGATAACATAATATGTATAGCCATCGCCGTGACAAAGCTTACACAGTGTTATTCCAAACGTTTCGCTTTTTTGGAATGTACTGCCGAACACCGACTCTTCCCTTGAATTTAACAGTTACTTCATCCAGCATCAAATTTTCAGTAGGGTTTTACAGCGTCGAACAGCAATTATTGAATTACTGGAAAACCCATCTAAACTTTCGCTGCTTGTCATAATTTGTAATCTCTCAGTCTGTCAGATTTTCGTTATTTTCGAAGTGAAGAAACCTGAGCGCAAATAGAAAGCGGTTACGTTACAAGATTTCATAAATTTGATTAAATCTAATATTGTAGAAATTCTGTATAATAGCCCAACATTCATAGAAACGTAATACTAAAATGTGAAGTTATTGTAATACTAGTTTTATATTTGTCATAAGTGAATTTTCAAAACACACTGAAATGTTTGCTACTGAGAAGTGTTGAAGCTGACGTTGAAATATTCAACGGGTAACGGCCGAAAAGTATTCGGAAAAGTTAACGAATGTGATATGTTATTGTCTCCCACAGTAATAACTGTATTATTATAATAATAAACACGGTTTACGTTATTTTCTTTATAATAATATAACAAAGCAATAACTACGTGTTTAAACTAAAAATAATGTTGAGGTCAATTAATACCTTGTAGTGTTTGCTTTACGTTTCTTACAAATATTTCTCTTTCTTCTTACTTCGTAATGGTTTTATGGAAGCCGTGAACTTGAAACGTGTGTAAAATAATGTTAAAATCTTCAAACACAAGTAGGAGCGTATGTTGTCAGTGTTGAACTGTTTTTATGGTGCCTGTTATGTGTACTTTTCGTTGGAGGAACATTCTTATTGTAATTGTCTGATGGAGACTGTAGTTATAACAGCAACAATTGGGCAAGATTGTTACACACTACATTTATGAAATAACCAAATACAACAGGATGCTCCGATGTAGACACTAGTTTGCTATGATTCAGGGCGTTTCCAATAGTGGTTCTGTGCCAGATGCACAACCCTTTGCTGCCTAGTGGGTACGTTGTGAACCTACGTAAGACACTTACTGCCGAATTACGAAATAAGAAGTCGGATATTAACAGTACTAAAACTGCTTAAATTTAAAAAAAACACACATTTATATATTTAAATTTTACACTTTGGGAGAGTAGGAATACGATATTTTATTATTAACACGAAGTTTTATATAATACAGTATGTTAAGATATTTTATAGCAGAGATATTCATGTAGTATTCAAAGTTCTTGTAAAGCACCAGTCACTGAAAATTGTATGGACAAAATATTTTAGTTCGTAACGAATAGTATTCAAGGACCTTATAAAACACCAGCCCCTCTGAAAAGAATCTTGAATACAGTTTCTTAGTACGTAACAGTTGTATATTATTAAAAAGGCCCTACAAAGTACAAGTATCTCTGAAAATTTTTTGAACATAATAGAAGCCTGAGTGGTCGTATGTTCATGCAGTAGTAGCTGTATTCTCCGTCTGTTTTAATCCAACTAACGTGTCTGACAACACGCCGGTGGACTTAACGAATTTTTATGGCAGCTTTCAGTATACCTTCTGCTCCCTGTTTTTTTTTAGGTTGTCCCTCTCCAGTTAAAGCTTGCTGGATCTGGAAACATTGCTTCATGACGAATCGAACACGGTTAAATTTTTCTTTGTTTTGCCGATCCGTAAAACAATCGATGTGAAGAACTGCTCAAGTTCTTCACAATTCACCGTTGTTTCCACCGTCTCGTTATATGCAGTTGGATTTCTGGTAGTGTGTAGAGCTGAACTTGTGAGTGGACACTGTTTAAATCGGTATACCAGTGGCCGATACCGAGCTGGGACTGCATGGATTGCGTTTACAAAGCTAATAAATGTGCTGGTCACGATTTAGCAGTCGCTTTTTTTTTTATTACTCGACCGTCTCTGTGGTCTAG